AATTCAACCATGGGTACATGCGTCGTTAATGAGGTACTTTAGGTGATGTAGGCATCTGCGTCAGCAACTACATCTTCTATCTCTCATACATCCACTTCTGCACTTTTCTTTTTGATTACTTTATTAAATGCGGTTGCAGACGAAAGGGCATCGCAAGAATTTATTCGTGCGATAATTGCCACATCGATCGGTCATCGTTTCTTATGGGAGTTTGGTCCGTCCCGAGTACTAAATTTGTTAATGATTTATTTCTCGCGCTGCTAGAAATTAATATTGCCAAAGAATAACAGATAGGTGTGTGTAATCATTGATGAATGTTGGCTTTGCTACACCTTTAAGTAAAGCAAGGAAGAGAATAAATTGTATCCTAATTCACGATGAAACAATCAGACATGATTGAAAAAAATGTCAACAGTCTAACTTTTTAACACATTTCTAAAAGAGAATTAGGCTATTTCAACAGGCTTTTTCTGTTGAGCTATTTTTTTTGAAGAGATATTTCAACAGGCCTTTTCAACAAGCCATCGTCCATGCCTCAGGGAAAAGTATATTAGTCAAATAAAACTTATTTCTTATTTCGAGAAGAAGTGGTTAAAATTTAAATCAATAGGATTACTAACCAATCATTACTAAACACATTGTTTAGCAAAAAGGTAACAAGTGAGGTATAATATGACTTAGAATCGTCCGGCAACGTGTGCATAATTTTCCAGCAATCTGAAGGAGCGACTTCCCTGAATTCGTTCCTCATACGGCATACCCGATGAATGAAATCAGCCCTCGATCGATCAGACTATTCACCCTGTATAGCGTCGGACAGGACATCTTGAAACTTGGAGAAGCTATTTAATTATTTGAGTATGCGCTGGCTGACAATTTGTATTATGTTAGACCATGGTTAGATCCGACTAACTAACATCTGTGTTGCATTTAATTAAAAACTTCAAGGGTCGAATATGTATTTTTATGCTTTGAAACCCGGCCTATCCCAGAAAACACTAGCTAACAGGAACGAGTTTCTAACATGGAAAAGATGATGAACATGCACAAATTCATTGTTATTCGTTGCTGAACCTCAGAAATGCGGTGATTTTCAGGAAAAAAGTGCTTAGTGTCTGTAAATATATTTTAAGAAGAAAGTTTTTAAATTTATCCATGATTTGGTAACTAATCGTAGCCTACTGACGTAAGTTCAGCTTGAACTTAAGCGTCCCCCAGGACAAGTAGTATTTAAATATCATTCCTCCCAATTAATTCTGCTTTTATTTTCACCAGCTCAATTGGTTGCGGCTCATTGCTTTAAAGCACATCGCCTTCGATGTGGGGAATGTGTTAGGCATAATTTTTTTTACAAAGCGGTGTAGGAAAGACACTTGCTACTCTGTATGTTCAGCAAGTTAATACGTGTTGAAAAATTTTAGAAGAGCCAAATTCGCTTAATAGGATGTACAACATTCTTCACAATTACTAACATAACATCAGCATTCACTGTGTTTCATACCCTATTATGGTATGATTAATTCAAGCTATCTTTTGCGTAATACTGTGAACTTAGAATCACAAGAATTGCGTTCGAACAGAAGGTGTATAATTCTTTAAAACCAAATATTTAATTTGAAACAAGATACTGAAGTATATCTTAGTTTAGGAAGACAATTCATACTACCGAGTTTTGTAGAACTGGTAAAATTTGAACAAAAAACTATGATTTAGTTTTAAATTTGATTTATTACGGGTCATAGCTTCCGTAACCTTTTGTTCTGTTCCTTGATTCTGGGTGACGTATGAAGTAGCCACAACCTGAACATTTGATGACGAACTAATCTCATCCCTACTACTTTACTTCACCTCCCTTTGAAGAATTTTCGGCAGTTCGTTGCTCGACTCCACGACAGCAACTCCCGGGGTGCCCGTGTGACTTTGCGCTATTACTTTTGTGCCAGCTTCTGTGAAATGCACACTGTTTGATGCACGGGACCCCACATTGTTCAGCCTCGGTTAATTACTGAATTTGATGGAGTAAAACTACCGTTGGAAGCCCTGCCCGAATGCGGTCGGAATTGTCGGATTGAGCTTGTGCACGTTCTGGCTCTGGCGTCCTTCTCCTGCACCCTTGTTACTCCGGCGGCTTTGACTACGACTTGTGCCCCAGCAACCTCGGTGCGGATGCGGACCAGCCACGGGACCAGCCACGCATCGATATTCATCGAAGGATTTTTTAGTAAATTCAGGTACGTCGCCCTTACCTCATGGGCACGGGGCAAGCGGTTACGGTATGCTAAAACCTGTTCCTTTTCATTTTAGACCCCAATAAATAAAGAGCCCGTAATAATCAATATTTATCTATTCAATAATGCCTATTTTCTTATATATCATTTCTTAAACAGTTTTCTTCGAAATGTGCCTTTTACTTTAATTAAAAAACGTGTGTTAAGTTTTTCGCCGACTCGGAAATCTTTCAGCTACGATGCGTAACCTTCTCAACTCTAATTCTAGAGTCTTTTCCACATCGAGCAATTTTTAATTTCCGAATCATTTATGGCGCTCTATAACACTCGTTTCTTTCTCCAATTCTTCAGGATTTACGGGTTGGACGAACTTGGGAGCGAGTTTGCGACTCCGTTGCCTCTTCACTTACAGTGAAGCGAGTCGCTACCAAAATTTCAGGGGGCAGCACAGAGCAAACTTAGAATTGATGGCATTTGTTGTCATCGTTAATTTTTCATTAAAGAAAAAATATACAAACCATGGTTTGACTCGTGTTTTTGTATGCCTTCGGATCCCGTTTAGTATCTTCTCGATCACAAAGTTTTGTCCCAAATTTCTGTACATTTTCAAGGGAAGCAAAATATTACAAGCAATAAAGGCCATAATGTCTGTTATAAATTATCTCTTTCAATGGATATAATTTAAAATGAGCTCATGATCTGTAGATCGTATTGTCCCGGGAATCTATAAAATGCTGCTGGATTGGAAACTAGCATCCGTTCATTATAAATGGTTTCTTCTATTGACGATGTGGGAGGGATCGGGCAATTTATGTATTATTTAATAATTTTGGGTATAAATATTTGAGAAGCGTTTTAGCAGTTATTTAATGGAATTACCAACCATTAATGTGAATTTCTTGTTTAATTCAAATTCTGTTAGATTTTTGTTTTTATCCATTTGCTGGTTTCAAGTCTCATTAATTGTCGCGATGTAAGTCTCAAAATCAGTCGGAAACTTTATCCCAGACTTGTTACTTCGTCTCTACGTTATTCTCATACTGATATTTAATCAGTAATAAGGACTCTTCAGAAACATTATTTTCACTTTGGCTAAAGGGAGGACCTACATCATTCTTTTAATGCGTCCCTAGTAACATCATATGCAGTATTGCACAATTATAAACTTATTACAAGCCGCGTTCAAGCCTATGTCACAAGCAGTGACAAAGGCTGTCATTGAAATTTTTCTGGCAGTGCACAATATATCGGATTAGAGGTGAGATGGAAAGAGATGTACCGTCAAACGGGGTTGAGAGTTTTTCGTTAATAACTTCTTACCATGAAACGTTTCATGGGCAAGTTTAGGCTCAAGTTAAAGCTATTTGCAAGGGCTATCGAATGGTATCTCCAAAAAATTCCATATGCTATTTGTAAGGTGCCAGACGCAAAATAAAAGCGTCCCGAATTTCCCCTGGGAACGGGGTAATCCGGGACACTTGTAATCAAATTAAATTTTAAAACGTTTGAAGCATGCAAAGTGTACTCATCCATTACTAACAGTACTCTGAAGTCCTCCTTTTCCTTTGTAGATGATGTAGATGTGGAATAAAGGACATTTTATGTGATTTTTGCCCGTATTTCCTTTATTGATATGATACCGGGTGCGCCACAGAAATTTACTTATTTGAAAGGTCAATAAAAACAAAAGTACTTCAGTTATTGTTTTAAATTTTTTTATTCGAGAAAACAGTATCCCAAATTTTATTTTCATACAGTTTTGAAAATTAAATCTCATAAATGACCGCCTCCATTGCGCATAAACTAATGAAGTCGCTTTTTTCATAATGGTTTCCACTCTATGCAGCATATCAATCGGTATTTTGGCAATGACGTCGCGAATGTTGTTCTTGAGGTGTGCTATGGTCCGTGGTCGATCGACATAAACCAGAAATTTCAAATATCCCCATAAAAAGAAATCGCATGGAGTCAAACCTGGAGAGCGTGGCGGCCATTGGAGATCGCCTCTGAGAGAGATGAGGCGGTCGGGGAAATGTTGTCGCAACAAATTCATCGAGTCTC